GTAAAATAGAACGTCAATAACTAATGATCAAATCATTGATATCAAACTTAAAATTTGTACACTTCTCAATATCTTAGTTAGAAACAAGCAAAAAAAAGATAAAATCAATTGCACTTATCAATTGAAAGAAATACAAGATAATCCAATCAGGTATTGGGTGACCATCTACTCCAACCTAAATATTGAACTTCTAGTGCTAATATCTCCTTTTTGAACCATTGAATTGATTTCAAATTTCACCAAAATATTGAAAATTGAGTCTAGTATCTATACAAAAAAAATTCACTTCAATCCAATTGATAGATTACTGAAGATCTTAGAAACACTCACTAATGCTCAAACTCTAATTTCTAAGACCTTGATCTACAAAAATCTTCATTTACTTTAATCAAATTATTTGATTAACTTCAAACTTTGCATACACATTCAAAACTAGCATATCAACACATTTCTCAAATTTCATTTATACATATACCACAAAACTCAAGAAACCTTCAAATTTGTAAACATATTATTATTTTTCTATCCCTAATTCTACTAAAAACATCATTAACTTTGAAAATCTCTCAAAATCTCAATATTGATTTAAATGACATGAAATTAATGTTTAAAAATATTTCTTCAAGTTTTCTCTCAAATTCCATTCTTTGATCTACAAAAGAATCTCAAAATCATTGTAAGTATGTGGTTTTGTGTATTGAGGTGTGATTTCAATCTAGGTTGATAATTGGTCCACTTTGGATACCAATTCTTGGCTTTTTGAAGTAAATTTTGCTAAAAACTATTCTTAATTTCTTCTTATACATACTTATATCATTTATTTTTCTAATCTATATTTTTTGTCTTATTTATGGTACTACAAAGTAAATAGAAGCCTATTTTGTAAAAAGGTAGTATTTGCATTTTTTAGTTTTACTATCTTTTTGACTATTATCTATATTTTTAAGATAATTTTTTATAATATGTTTAAAATAAGATCTTCTATAATATAATTTTTTCTTCTTTCTTTCATTATATTTGGAAGACAACACCATCAATTAACAACATTTCAAATGTAAATTATCAATACTTACTTAAAATTATTGTGTTGAAAAAAAAGATGGCAATCCTCCATCTAAAGCTGAGTGTTAAGTTATTCTAATGAAGAAATAGTGCATTCATTTTGGATCTAGCAAATAAGCAAATTGAATCAATATAATAACCTATTAAGGATTCTATGTACAATAATGGCATTGCTATATGAATGACCAATGTAAATTAGCTTGCAGTAAATATCATATATTTTAGTCATGAACGTCATGACATCCATATTATCTAACATGTATAAGATCTTCCATTTTTTTAGCACAACTATAGTATTAGCAATAATATTGGTGTGCTACATTAATTCAAGTTTGTTCCAAGTAAGGTGCAAGTTTGAAACATCTTTCATAAAGACATATAACTCTTGTAGAAAAATATTGTGTAATGTTGACTTTTAGAGTTTAAAATTCAATGGGCTAGCTAGCATAACTTCTTTGGAAACAACAGTAGTTATAGTGTCCATTAGAAGTTGAACATGATTTGAAAAGAAGAAGATGCAAAAAAAAAATTTCTTGTGATGGAGGCTATGAGAAAACAAAATGAACTTCAAGAGACTTACTATAGTTTTGTGTATGAGGACTTATGTTGTATGACTTAAGACTAAGGAATCTAGAACCTAACCTACTATATTGTGGAAATACAATAACACATATGTATAATGAACTGAGTAGTTTTCAACAAGACCATATATATATATATATATATATATATATATATATAGTGACAAACAAAACCGAGTACAAAATCTGAACACTCATAGTTCATTGATCCTTCCAACTGACACATAAGTCAATTGATAGAATTACTTTTTTATTGTGTGTATTCATCCAGTCCTCTACATGGATGAAAAATCTCATTATCATTTGAGGTAGGGTTTATGAGAAAAGTGTTGTAGAAGTACACAGACGTGCGTACTCAGTTTTGGTTGCTTCTTCTTGCTGAATTTCGAAATTTCAATGTACACTCCTTGTTGCAAGATTTGAGGGCATTTTTTGTTTGTTGTGTTGCTCTTGTTGTGTACTATCTATACTGAAAGTTGATTTGTCAATTGTATCTCTATACCTCGTTGTGTGAATCATTGAAGCACCAAGCATTGATGCAGCTTAGGAGTGGTGTTTCTACAAGAAAAGTTGCAGACTCACTTGGAATGAGTCAGTCTTCAGTAGCTCATCTGAGAAGGGAGATTAGTGGTGAAATAGAAAAGCAAAGAGGAGGACGTCCAAAGGTTTTAGGAGTGCAAGAGAAGCGACTTGGTGTGCACCTTGTCACTGCTGGTTGTCTCAAAACGGCAAGTGCAGCTGCTAAACAACTTCGAGAAAAAACAGGTAAATACTTCTCAGACATCACCTTGAGGCGTGGTTTGAGAGAAGCTGGTTTGGGTGCTTGTGTGCAACAAAAGAAGCCTCTACTTGCAAAAAGACATGTTCTTGCAAGATTGAGTTTTGCTCATAAATACAAAAATTGGACCGTTGATGATTGGAGACAGGTTATTTTCAGTGATGAGACAAAGATTAACCTAATCAACTCAGATGGTAGGTCTTGGTGTTGGTTGAGAGAAGGAAAACGACCTGGACCTAAACATGTTAGTCAAACTGTCAAACATGGTGGTGGTTCAATTATGATTTGGGGTTGTATGACTACTTTTGGGCTAGGTGCTTGGTATCAAATTGAAGGTAGAATAGAGCAACACTTGTACAAAAAAAGCAATCATTGAAATTTCTGTAATTGCTCTTGAAAGTTGGCACTTCAGATTTTGTACTCGGTTTTGTTTGTCACTGTATAGTACTGGGATTAATCTTTAAGAAGGATGAATGGATGACACTTGTCATCTACAAGAATTAGGTCCCAACAGAAACATACCACTAGTTTCCATTCTCTACATCTCTCAACATGTATACGCATGTAACCTTTGAACTTATTACAGTTTAACTCTTTTTTTCTTTTATTTTTCTTTTATTTTTCTTTTATTCATCCACTGCATCGAAATTGAATGTGTACTTCTGCCGCCGCCCTCTTGAAACTCAAGCCATCCAACACTAATGATGGCGGAGAAAATTAGGGTTTGGAATCTGTACAGAACATCCTCGAATTTCACAGGAATTCGAAGCTGCATTTTCATGTTGCGACGATGGCAGGTCTTCTCATTACTCACTAGATGCACACACTTTGCTAACTGCATTGCCCACGTTTCGTTTCTCGCAGTGCCTTGAAAGACGGCGTCATGAGCGACCTCGTGACCCATCTGCTGCACAACGTGGGAGGCTGTGTCAAGACGAGGAGCATCGTTGTGTTCGGAACAGCACAGCACAGCACAGCATGCAGCCCAAGGATCCTTGTAATCTCAGTTCGCTCAAAGCATTGCATGCCTGCCAATTTCGTCTGGTCACGCATCTTACGGCTTGAGTGAGGGCTTTTCTGCAATGGATGATGATGTGCAGGCCGAATGTTGGTGGAGGTGGCACAAGGGTTTTTGGAAGATGAATCTCGAGGGCTTGCGTGTCTTGAGTTGTCCGAAGGACTGGATTTGCTAAGTTGAGTTTTGTAAAAATAGAAATGCAGGTTGTGAAGGTAAGAGAATTATTTCGGCGGGTGGGTAGTGTGGATCTTGTGCATGTTGAGGGAGCAGTTGGTCGATGGATTGATGGATTGATGGATTAGTCTTGTTCTTGCGTGGATCTAGAGTCGCCATGATGTGGGAGCTTATCCAATGACGGTACGACGTCCTGTCAGCGATAGGAGTGGTGGCATTCGTGGGAGAGTTGTTTTGTATCTGTATCCTTTGTCTGAAATTCGGTGAGCATGCCGCATGACGACGTCGTCCAAGGACAGTTCTTATCATCACGAATAGCAAGTTTTAAGACCTCGATCACAACTATGATTCGTCACAGGTTTCCTGAGTCGCAGGTCTTTGCCGGGTCTCTTAATTGATATTTATATCTCTCTGGTTGCACTCATCAACGAGCTGTCGCACAAAAGGCTACATTCATCTTACAATACTCCAGGGTAAAGGCCATGTCTGAGTGACCTCTGGACTGCTCTTCGCGTCACGTATTTGTTGGTAATAAATTTGGGCGAAATTTTTCTCATGCATTAATATTAGCACACGACCTAATCAGAATGTTCCGAAATTCAGAAGATTAGAACAGCTTATGATCTGTAATCAAACTTGTGGGCATGAATCCTGAGACTTTTTTCGAAATCTCATGTTATGTAATGAGCCTCAAAATGGGTGGTCTTGTGCTCCTGATTACCTTGGCATAGTTTAATAGGTAGAATTTCTGGACGTGAGTTCTTTTCGAGGAAGTTGGTTGCAATGAACTTCGCATTTTGTCCCTTGTGCTCCTGTAGTTCGGTAAACTTCCTGTACTCTGAATTTACCAGAGGTGAAAATCCACAACCCCAGGAGATTTAGGGTAGGGGCTTTTGGGTGTGATCCTGACAAATAAGGGCTCGTCCCTCATCAATAGCATCCTCACAAGGAAAAAAGATAAGAACTGTATGCAATGCACATCTTTATATGCAGATATCAGACTGGCCACCCTCATGCACATGACAATTATGTTTAGGTTCACTATTCTAGAGCAAGTTGCACCACTCACACAACTGCGATTTGGAAGCAAGCTGAGACTTAGCCTTCTTTGGATTACAATAAGGATTCGAACACGTCTGGGCGTGCAAAAGTTTGACCCAAGTGATTCAGCAAGCGACAAGCTAAAAGCACTGTGCAAAGGATACGAGGATATATGCGTTACGTCACAACATCACCAACCGAAAAATGATGAAGACAAGGCTACAGAAAAAAAAAAAAAAAAAAAAAAAAAAACTGACTGAAGAGCTTCCAATCAGAATGTGTGGGACATGACAGAAGGACGACAAACCGTTGAAGGGATTCGGTGAGACATTAATTGAACACGAGGTAATAAAATAATGATTTAAAGAATCTCTCTTCATTCGTATTTTCAAACGTTCAGAATTACAAGCCTTGCTAAAGGCGCGTAGGAAAAGTCGCTCTCTACATCAACTCTGCATCAACCGAGTGACCTCGTTGATGAAAAAAATGCCGGCCGTGGAAAGAAATATATGAAACAGAATTTCATGTTTACACACTACTCAATTCAAACTAAGTCATTCCTACAAGACTATTTTTCCTAAGGGACATTCTAATTCCCCTCAACATCACAAAATTACCATTCCACGATTGGACACAACAAATCTCCCCTGGATGCCCTCTGCTAAGGAAACCCGAATTATGCTCCGAATCCACCAGTCTACAGATTATCATTGCTCGCAACCAAGCTAGAGTATCCCAGGTACGCCATTCAACACTAACCAGAAGTAGTTGAAACTTGAAGGCTCAATTTCCCACGCAAAGTCGATGTTGCTGAATCGGCAATCCACCGCCTTACTCCAAATAGAAGATGGGCTCTGTAGCATATATATCTGATTGGCACTCACATGGGCAACCCGTGTGATGGATGTTGGAGTAGAAATACAAAGTCTATCTACAGTTACCTAAGGGATCTACATTGGTTTCGGAGCACTGCCTCCAGTGGAATTGTATGCAGCAGCAGTGCACTTCTCCTCGTTCGTATAGAAGTATACTTCAGCAGGAGTCAATATTCGAATGCCTCTAACATTACGGACAAACTCGCTGGAAAACCACCACGCCACTAAGGACAGTCAGCCACTAGCTCAAGGCATAAAACCACAAGCATCAAGGCACACAACGAAATCAGAAGCAAAAGGGCATGGCCATAATAAAGTAAGATGGTGGGTTGGTGATGACAAAATGAGTGCACTTACTCCCAAGGGTCGTCACCAACAAGAAGAAGATCGTCTTCATTGTCAGTGAAAACTAATTGCCAACCAACCGTGGGGTCCAATTGACCATCAAGATTGAACATACGAGCTAACTCACACCTCAACTCCGTGTAGTCTTTAAATCGATTAACATCAACTGCTCTTGTTATTGAGCCAAGCTTGTAAACCTGGCAAGCCCGTTCCCGCATAAATGAGTGGAACAACCAAGAAAGACTATGAGTGTCTGTGCGGTAAAAGAGCGAAAGCAAAAAATGCAAAGTAAACCTCAACACAGTCAATAAAATACCTTGATGTAACTCCGAGTAATTTTAGGCTGTGGACACAGAAAAGCTCTTTGCAGAAGTCGAGGGTCATCAAAGGCTCCATTCATCACTGTAGAACTTAAATTAATATCTCCTCCTGAGCTCGATGGTGCAGAGAAGTTATTCCCTTGCAAAAACCTCCGCCCCTGGAGGTCAGTGTGCGCAGGAAGAACCTTACCCACCATGTTTGAGGGCGAACCACACACTTCCTGTTTCAGATCTTGGTCTAACATGATATCTCTGTAGCCATTTTGGACTTGATTTACTTGGGGTAAGGCTGTAGGCAACCCTCTTTGACTTCCAAGTTGGTTAGCAAAGGAGTGTATAGGACTATTCATAGAGTACGCCACTGCTTCTACCTTTGTTTGCAACCGGGATGTGCTCACACTTGGTTGGGTCTCTGACATAGTGGTTGAGTCTCGAATGGATGGGTACCAATTATTTGGAGTTTGCTGCATATCAAGACCAACACATGGTTCTTATTTTGTTACACAATGTATGTCGCAATGAAGAAGAAGCTCAAACAATGATAGATAGGAACTTCGCCTATTTTAACTCCTCCACAACATGAACAACCATATAATAACAATCATATTCCAACAATACCCAAGGACGGCACAACAAGAGAACTGACCTGAATGTCACGGTGTAGAGAAGGATATACCATTTGTTGCTGTTGCTGCATGCCGCTGGAACAACCTTGTACGGATTGATGAATAACAGCGCTATTTTGACCAGGATTCTGAGGTCCCATGCTGGAGATATGTCCAGTTGAATGAAGCATACCATCCTGTATGCGGTGACCGCCTTGTTGATGCATCATACCACTGTAACTAGCATTAGGTAGCCCATTAGGAGCAGAGTGCACAGCTTGCTGATGGACCATCCCATTGTGACTCCCATTTGGCATTCCGTTTTGTGCAGAGTTCACACCTTGTTGGTGATGCAGAGAGCTTGGCATGGAATGTCTACCCTGTGGAGGCAAGGAAGCACCCCCTAATTGTGGCAGCTGATTGGGCAACAGATGTCCGCCTGGCTGCTGGATGCTAGTATTTTGAACTCCAATATGGAGTCCATTTGCTGATAATGCGTGGCCATTGTGCTGAAAAGCCACCCCATTCTGCATTCCGCTCTGGCGAAGTCCGGGGGAGCCATGACCATTCTGATGATGAACATTTCCATTTTGCAAACTACCTTGGGTACAAGTAGAAACGCCGTGGCTTCCAGACGCTTGAAGGCCTGAGTTTGGTACCGCTTGTCCAGCTTGCTGCCGCGATATTTCAACCTCCAAGTCATGGCCTGTCGAGTGCAAACCACTAACTCCATCAACTTGTTGTGCCATGCCGCTCTGTGGGGAGTGGCCTCTCAATTGTTGAGTGGACATTCCGCTCAGAGACGACTGCAAGGACTGCTGTGTTTGTAGCGGTCCATTTTGAACACTTTTAGCTTTAGACTGGGCTAAAAGATTACTTTGTGATATATGCATCAAGCTGGAGTAGGAGCTGTCACTTTCAGGCTCTAGGAGCTGAATGGGTGCACTGCATTGCTGAGAGGAGCGAGGGGGGGCCGTCAAGTTCGGCAAGTTGGGGTACGGTCCAGAAGAAGACGAAGTGGGGGAGCCATTGTGTACATCGGCTTCGGAATGAAGCGGGGGAGTTCTTATGTACGGTGGTGGCGGAAGAGATAGTGGTGAATGAGGTTGGTAATTAGAATCTCCAAGAGAGCAAACGTCGGGCTTCGTACCCTGCTTCTGCATTTGAGAAATCGACTGTTGCTGTTGTTGGATACCGTACTTCATGTGCTGTTGCAACTGAGGTTGTTGGAAGGCGACGTTACCTCGCAGATCCTGTAAGAGGATGTAACAAGCTCAGGTCGTGTGCCCCTAAAAGAGCATAGAACTCCATAGAGTTACCCATGTATCGTATATTCTAAAAAAATGATGCAAGGCTAGAGTGTTACCTGAAGAGCTGCGGCGGCTTCAACCCTTTGTTGCATATTCAAATGCGGTACTACGGGTGACATGACAGCAGCTTCGCTGTTCTGCTGCTGCTGTTGGTGTTGCTGAATCTGCTGCATCCGCATTAGACTCTCCATAGAAATTCCTGGATAGTGAACATTATTTTGAAATCCTTCAGTAACATCATCATCGGCTCGCTGCGACCCATACCATTGTCGGGTTTCTTTCACTTCCTTCAAATCCTCATCAATGGGATGTCCTTCCCTTCTCCTTTTTCCCTGTTAGATAACAGACAGATGATTAGCACGAGGCAAAAATTCACATGAATCTCAAATGCATCATATTCACTCAGCCTCTGTAAAGAACCCTAATCGGTGAATCGAAAACAGCACATCAGCACACTCAAGTAAACAACCCTGACTGTGACTGAGAAGCCAAGAAACCGTTGAAGTTCGCATGCGGTGGAGGAGCCCTCGGGTCATCACGAGAGGCATCACTAAAGTAAACGTACTTCACAACCACTTCTACTAGCAAGGAAGACCTTTATCGCCAGAAATTCGTATCACTTATTCTAAAGACAGATGAACCCGATCACTTTCCATAATCAGAGGTTACATATGCCCTTTAACTTCCTATGGTGAAATAGTGTTCACTGCCATCAATATCCTCAATTTCAAAACACCTCCACCAACTCACGCGCTTTCAGTAATGGTCAACAATGCTACCACATCGAAAATTAGTGCAGGTAGAGGACTAACTGTGGCGACGAGATTCGGTACACCACTGTCCATCTTTGTAGATTGTCTTCTTCCTTCCAATTGTCAATGTCGAGATGAGAAAAGTGCAACTGCGTTTTTAATCATAGCCATGGCCACAGACCTCGAAGTCCACCATGTGAAAGTAGGGAACTCCAGAAAACCACACTGGAGTGACTACATGATACAACGACGCACAATCCACACTACGATAGGAGATGCAAACCCTCTCGAGGTTGAATAATGGATCAGAATGCCTCAGAAAGGATACTGGCCGATATTGTACAAATCCAATTGAGCAATGTGCGCAGGAGAAAAGCTTGGAATCGTGAAAGAAGCACCATGAACAAGATAAGCTCTTTGATCCTTGTAATGGCTGTCGTGAAGTAGATTATGCTCGGACTGAAATATAGTACTTCTGGAGCAGCCCTTTTGCTTTCAGAGAACAAAAAAGCCAAAGAATGCTGTCTGTGATATACTTCGCTGCGTACGCGACTCCTGCTTGATTGACGATGTCGGAGATGGAATTGAAAGAAACTGTTAGGCCTTGTCTCACTTGGAGACTGGCAGCTCAATAATCATACGTCCGCACAATTGATCGCTAGCGGCAGACAAATATAGTTTGAAAGAAAGCGCACAGCGCACGAGGCTTGAAAAATCGATGAGTACAGTGGAACTGATCTGAATAGGAGTGTAAGGTATCTTTGTGAGCTGGATGAGCACAAAGCAACTGGCAGTCTTTGATGATGAAGATGAACGCAAGAGAAAGGTAGAGACGTAGTTCGAAACTTCTTCACCAACTACTTAAAGGTGATTTCCACATTAGCAGTAACAAAGGAGAAATGTGAGCCTCACTAAACGCACCAGAGAGTTAAAGATGGACGATTGCCCAGAGACGAACTTTGCTTCTTGAAGAGCCAGACTTCCAAAAGAGATCTCTTTGAGAACGAGGACACGGTTGTGAACTGCTTCAAAGATGGCTTTATGCGATCTCTAGAACCCAAATTCAAGTTAAACTCCTCGAAAAAGAGAAAATGCAGATTCTTGTTTGAACTGTCTCGAATTATTCTTGCAGGACAATGAGCATTTGATAGAATGCCCCGAATAGAAAGTTGCGGCGATTCTTCACTGACTTCTCATTAAGAAGAACAGCCCCGAATTGACAGTCGCAGAAAGCTACAAAGAACGCCAAAGAGTGTCAAGAATGAAAATGCCCCCAGTCTACAGAAACGAACGCTTACAGGGAACCAAGCTACAAGATTGAATAGTAACTTAACCAGGAAGAAGCTTCTAAAAGATCTCTCGTAAACAAAACAAGCTCACCTATCCAGCACCCTAAGCAACTGCAGAGGGAAAGAACCAAAAACACTCCTTCACTACATATCACACAGATACAGCAAAACGAAGACACTCAAAATTGCTATCTCCTTCTTCGACTGTCTTTCTGCACAACGAACTCCAGGAGCTATACTCGCACCCCTTCCCCCACTCTCTCGTCGCGACTACGTCAAAATTTGACCCCATACGCACACCCAACTCCCACGAGCTCGAACTTCCCAAACGCACGATCGAAACGCATCAACTCGGGATCAATGGAACCCAGTCAACTGCCCTCCCTTCTACAACGCTCGTGCCATCAGTCCCTCACCCCCAGGTCCGGCCTTTTACTGGTGCATAATATCGCATCTAACCCGAACATTGCCCCTCAAGATCCGCATCGCTCAAACCAATCCCACCCCACAGTGACCTCTCTCTCAAACCTCTTCTCTCTCACTCACTCACTCAATCACTCAACCAACATGTAATCTCACCTCCTGCAACAACTAGCTAGCCCAACTCAACCGAACCCAGCCCAGCCCCTCCCCCCGCACACGGGCATGCATGAACTGTGCGCCAGTTTGCGAAAGTTGCCGGGAACTTCGAACTGATTCTTTGGTTCTCTCCCTCCCTCGCTCTCAAAAGGTTTGGTGTTCCTGTAAGACAGGAACGCTAAGCAGTAGTAGAGCACATGAGAGAAAGGCAGCGGGCGAGGAATCTGTGGGAGGGCCAAAGAGTCGAGAGAAGAAGGTGCAGCAGGTTGTGAGCGAGCAATCAGTGGAGGGCGGCCATGCCAGTGCCGCGGCCCCACCCCCCGCCAAATCCACCACCACCAGCAGCAGCCAGCCTCACTTCCCTTCCCCGCCCGGGCCCTGTGCTGCCATGCGTCATGGTGGCGGCCGGCGTCGGATCGCGTCGACCAAGGCCCCAGCAGTGGTACCGAGCCTGGCGAGGCTTGGGTGGGGCTTGGCTGGCTTGGTGGGCTGGAGGGTGAATCATTCATGTACACCACCAGTGACCCTACGTTACCCCAACTCATTCATTCATCCTCTCTCCGATTGAAGTTTCATCCATCTATATCCCCCTCTCCATTCATTCCACCTCCTAGCCACTGCATTGATGCGGCCCTTGCAGTCATGATGCCCCCGTAAGAAGGAATTTGTGCCATTTTTTCAAGTGAGCTTTCCTCCCCATAATCAATTTCAAGTCGTTGTTTTTTGAGTTTCCCTTTTTTCGATGACTGTTTGGTTAGTAAAAACGCTGATCCTTGGGAATTCTCACTCCACAAGGTTATTGAGACTTAAGCAATTGAATAATGGCTTGAGTAACAGTTAGTCTCTTTGATGGCACCGTTAACAATTCCTGGAAATGATCAAACTAAATAAAATAAAATGAAACAAACTAATTATAACGTGTGTGTGTGCAGGGTTTTGCATAACTTGAACGTGGGATCCTGAGTGCTTTCCTTTATTTTGTCCTCTTTTTCCTCTTTAATATTATTAATAGTGTGGAGTATGAGAAAGGCATTGATCTTAGATGCATATCCCCAAATTTCAGCTCCCAGAAGATTGTAAAAGGTCCTCACATGAGAAAGATTTTGTTGACCATTTCTCATGTGGAAAAGAGAACATACACTCATAATAATAATAATACATATTTGGAGGATTTTCTTCATTTGTCTCTTTCACTTCAACACATCAGAGAGCCTCAAACAAACTCCTTTCAGTGAGCATATTCCTTTGAGTTGACCCAAAAAGCTCATTTACTTACGCAAGGAAAAGTGACAATTGATTTTGACATCACCCCTTTGCCTTCAAACATTTTGTGAATGTCTTCTCTTCTTTGACACAATCCATTAAACAAATAGTTTTTGTGTTAATTTGACCCCATTTCTTATGAAAAAAAAATAGCCTTTAACATCTTCTTGGGTGCATGGCCTTTTCTCCAATCAGTGATTGGTATCCCCTTTCTATTCCATCACAAATAGTCCTGCATTGGATATTAAGTGGCTGTAAAACCACTGGGTACTTGCTCAATTAATATTAAAAAAAAGGGAAAAAAAAGTGAAAGTAGGCATCACTAGGGGTAAAACATAGGTTGGGGTGGGGCTCTTAGCGTGATCTCCAATTCAATTTTTTTCCACAAGGGAAGGTGTGCTGTCCTTCCAAAAACCCTGTACAAATTTCATACCAGGGACTAGCACTCATAGATCAAGTACTATGTGATCTACAGTAATATCATTTCAAATGAGGAGGGGAAACTCCATATATATATATATATATATATATAAAAAAATACACACACACATTGATAGATATCTGAAAAGAATAAAATTTACCTCAGTGTGGATTCTCTGTGGGTGTGTGAGTGAGTTTTGTTGAATCCAAGCATTATTTGACATGCCATGTCCAATCTGTTCTTTCTTGATGAGGGGAGGAAGTGTGCTTGTAAAGATGGGTTAAAACTTGTGTGTGTATATATATATATATGACACTCACAAGGAGATAGGAACCTTGCCCTGACTGGACTTGATGAGAGGACTAGATGAATGACCTTTTGTTTTCTCAGTTAGACTTCGGGAAGATGTGTCTCAGACAGCACACCATTTTTTTGGCAACTGTATCCTTTTCTCATGTTCTGTACACATTAGTCGTAGAAGAACCTCAACAAGGCTTTTTAGTTTTGTGGAAACGCAAAGCATCTGGCAGTGCAATTTTGTCTCTTGCAGCTCTGAGTAGCGAGCTGTCACCTCCTAGAAGTTTATTCCAAATGACACAGCTACCAGTTTGATAGAATAATAGAAAAGGAAAATAAAACTTGCTTGAGCATGAGCAAATTAAATAAAGTACCACCTACATAAGAAAATAATGTGAAAAATAAATAAATAATAATAACAATGAAATGTTCAATGTATAGTTTAGGAGGATGAAAAACTTGTAAACGTTTGAGCCTCGTAGTTGAACTTCTGTAAGACCATTGTTTGATTGGAATCCTTTAAAATGAATGGAATCAACTAAAAATTGCTACCACTAGAGGAACATACAGTTGTATAAAGATTTTGTCAGTGCAATAAAAAGAAGGATGATCCATGTACGTGGAAGCAAGCTCCTTAATTATCTAAACTGTTCCTCACTCGGAGCTAAAATTAGGAAAAAGCTGATATAATATCATACCACGCAATAAATTTATACCGATGATTTGAAACAAAAGTTAATGATTACTGAAATGACAATCTTGTGATTGTTTTAAGCTTTGGGTGTATAAGTTAATAGAGTAACTTGATTTTCATAAATTCACGTTATTATGCACGATTATATATGTATAAATGAAAATAGTATGTATCTTTTTCGTACGCATTCCACTTTTTCTTGTAACTAATGTTGCTATTTTTTGAATAGTTTGACCTACCAAAATAAAAAAATTGTTACCAAATCTCCACGTACTAAGTAAATGTGGATTTTTTTGAAGATAAATACTTTTCACATAACTTGATTGTTTGATTTAAGGGATTCTGTTGTTGCACATAAAACCATGACAAAATCTACAGGGTATAATTGAATGCAAACAAATAGAAATGAGATCATGAATGTAATTCTACCAATCATGTGTTGATGAAAACTCATATCCACTTGATAGCTATACTATCAAACTAATATCTAACTCCCAACAGATTAATCGACACAAAAAATTATTGGTTTTATGCGATCAATAAACTTTAAAAAAAATAAAAATAAGGAACAAAAATTTACACATGTATAATCAAAATCCCAATTTATCAAAATCGATGCTAAGAATGTAATTGAATGTAAAACTATGTTGTAAACAATGATATTAGACCACTAATTTTTGCAAATTCATCATTAATTATTTCATCATATCAAATTATTTGACTGTTGAACTCATGTGTACAAACGTATAAACACAATTATTTTCACTAGTTAATCCTCTCAGTTGGTATACAAACAGAACAAAAACTTATGTACCAGGTACTCATAGCCAAACAGTACATAGAAATGAAGTTTGAACATCATAATCAGAAGTGCTGGAGGTTTAGGAGTTAAATGAGCTGTTGTTTGTCACATGGCCCACGAATTCAGAATTCATAAAATTCTGTAAAGTGGGATCAGATTGTTGTTTGTTTAGCTTCCAAAGCAACAGAGTAAAAGAAGCCTCTCAACTCTCACTTTGCCCTAAGCTTCTTTCCTAAATTCAAGTTGCCGTCTGGGAAATGCCACCATTGTGATTATTCTTTAAAAGATCCATCAATAGGGTCGTTATGTTCCTTTTTAAGTCCCTCACTACTATTCGAAGGGAGAGTGAATCTTTGAATCTTCCAAACCCTAAATTAGGTCATAACCCCAATTTTGGCACCGATTGGAAGAAAGTGTCATCACCTGAATTGCTCCACCATCTGAATGTGCTAAGTAAAGCATATTGTGACCCACCAAATAAAGCTCATCAAGCAGGGGAGTACTTGAAGCGGGGAATTTATTACAAACAGAAGTAGAAGAATGAAACACAAAGACTGTGTGAGAGCTTGTGGGAATGAAGTTTGCCCTTTGGCAAAGTTGGCCTCTATCCTCAATTCAAAGAGATCTGCTTTTCTGATTTAGAAGTGTAAAATAAAAACCAGAACCCGACTCACACTGCAAGGGACATGAAGAGAGACTGCTGAAGACATGAAGGTCTTCTTTGTGTCCTCAGTGGAACACATGTTCACAATAATCACAATCCTTGGGAATGGAATGAATTGAGAGAGAGAGAGAGAGAGAGAGAGAGAGAGAGGGATCATAGAATAAATCAATGATGAACATGGATAGTTTTTTTTTTTTTTTTTTTTTTTTTTTTTTTTCCTATTCTTCTTATCGTTTAAGAAGGAGCTGATGATGAGCTCTTAAATATAACAACCTTTCAAAAAGTTTACAGTATTTCATTCATGAGTGATTGAATAAACTAAGAAAGCATGCATTTCTGCTATCCTACTGAGAAAACTTTGTGTTTTCCATGTGAGTTTGTAATGATCACTTGAACTTCGTGTGTAATTACTTCTACTATATGTATTTATATAGAGTCTGTGCTTGGAATTAGTTATTTGTAGCATTTAGGCTCAAGTGTGGAGTGAACCTTATGTTAAACTTGGATGAGTGCATCATGTTGTATTCAAGTGAAGTGCTACTGTGTAACAATCTTCAAAACACATAACACAA